CCCAGTACTTAGCGAGTAATAGCGCCTGATTTCCTCGAGGCTCGAGCCTGTAACCCAGCGGCAGAAACTTTGCCGAACTCGGCGGATCGGACCGCAGAAATTTTTGTAGGTCTCGCCGGAAATTACTATTTGACAGCTTGCCGGACTCGGCGTACAAACGAAGTCAATCTCCCATTGGTTTCGACATATCGTGTCGCGTTGCCGGCGGCACATAAAACGTCAAACCCTAATTATTCGTCGTGTGGATGAAGTAGATCCTTTCAAACCGGCTATTCTTCGTCCGGAAAAATTGTGAACTTTTCGATTCCTTGAATAAATCCTTTCAAAAACTCAACACCACCGTACGCAGCCCCACGGTGGACGCCAAATATCGTGGATTTGTCATGGCATATTTCCTAGTGTGAGGACTTGTCGTGAGGCCAACGCAACTAGGTAGTAGCCTCAACGGGATTGATCGGAATTGAGAGACGCGAGGCGGGTTAACACACAAGACAAGGGTTTAGACAGCTTCGAACATCAGGAAACATCATCTGGTAATAGCCCTACATGTTGTTTGTGGCTAGGTCTCATTATGCTCATGAGAGAGTTGTTGTATAAGCCGGCTCCCTTTTGTTGTATCTAGCCTTCGAGATTACTTCCCCCCTCTTGGGGTGCCCTGCCCCACCTTATATAAGTTGGAGGGGCGGATTACATGTAGAGTCCTACCTGAATTATTACTAATTTATCTTCTAATACAAACCGGATACAAGTCCGGGTCTGATGCCTTGTAAGGAAAATATTCTTCATGTTTTTCCTCTTAAGCCGGCCCACCATCACATTAACCGGCTTACTGGGCCTTGTGTCTTGTCGTCCGTTCGACCCCCCCGTCGGGTCATCAGTGAGTTGCAATGTTTAGGCGGGTTGCCCGTAAACTACCAGGTCCGGGCGGGTCGTCAGTGAATCGCCAAGCTCCAATCGGGACATACATCCAGCGAGTTACACCGTGGGGTATATCCCCAACAGTACGACTGCAAGTTAAGACCTTAAGCCCTGTTCTATTTTCCTAATATTGTTTCCTCACCAAACTATGTTATTCGGTCTGGGAAACTAGAACTCTTTACGAGACAAAAGCTTGCAAGAATTATCTCTCAATTAGTTATCCCTCACGTAGGTTCGATACCCAGGGTCAGGATCCTGTGGGGAAAAAGGCAGGTACTATCTTGATGACTCTATATTTTAAGCACTTTTTTGTGGGGTATATTTTAAGCATTTTTAGAGCTTATTTGTTGCAAGTTCTTTTCATATGTTCCATTGAACCAAATAGTTGTCCATTATGCATTATTATCGGATTTTGCACTTTTTATTGTGAGCATTGCACATTTATGTTTTTATTGGTATTCTTTGTTTTCTTGTGTCTACATATGTTTTGGAGCAACCTAGGACCAAGCACGGACAAAAGCATAAATTCGTGAGTGCCATGTTATGAAAAAAGTCATTTTACTTTATAAAACTGCCATGCATGTATGGAAAAATATTTTTTCCTTTATTTTCATTCTTTTCCATGGACCAACTACAAAAGGTGAATAAAATGCCATCTCTTAATAAACAAAAAATGTTTCTCTTCTAATAAACAAAAACGGTCATGTCTTAATAATAAACTACCATCAATTCTAGTAAACAAAAAACATCATCTCTTAATAAACAAAAATGCCGTCTACTTAGAATAAAAGGCCATCTCTTTGTAATAAAAAACGTCATCTCTTAATAATAATAAATGCATTTCTTAATAATAATAAAAATTCCATGTCATAATAATAAAAATTCTATCTACAAAAACAATTGACTTGTTAGAAAAATGTATTTAAATTGCCATGTAACATATTCCACAAATTATTAAAACTACCATGACAAAAAAGTTATAAAAAATGTTATGTAGGAGAAAAAAAGGGCTTGGGTGCCATGTAACATATTTTACAAAATTATTAAAACCGCCATGGCAAATTTTCTAGAAAAGTGCCATGTAGCAAAAAGAAGGACCGCCTAGGATTCAAACTCAGGTCTACCATGTGCAAGCTGACACTACTGGCCAGTGCAGTGCACAAGACTGATTTGAAAAGTAAAAGCTTTGCTGGATTTTATCGTATATGGACTAGGGTTTTTTTCGAGAGTAAAGCAAAATATTTACAAGAAGATAGACACGGATGACCAATATGATCATCCGGCTAGAAACATCCACACCACACATACAAGTTCTAGCCTACTTTCTCACCAAAGGTTCTGGACGTACAACTTCCCCCGTCTGCCAATCATTTAGCTCATCCATAATCTGGCGATTTTTTGTTGAAAAAGACCACCTGCGCGAATGAATTGACAAAAAAGACCACCTGCCGATAAATTTAACAAAAAGGACCCCCTCGGCTGTGGCGGCAGGTGCGGCAGGCGACACGTGGCACCTGCCGCCACACAGCAAGGCGGCAGCACTGTACCAACGGGAATCGGCGCTGGCGACGGAACGGCAGCGGCGTGTGGGGCCCGGCCGCCAAGGGGCGTGGCGGCAGTACTGTACCTGGGGAGCGGCCGCCTCGCGGGCTGGCGGCAGCCCTGTTCATGGCCCTGCTGCTCTACTACTACGTTGATTGCTACTGCGGCATGCACTTTTAGCCAGCCACTGCTGCTCTGATTGGTACTGCTACTGCATGAGCCGGCCACTGCTGCTGCATGCAAGATGTTATTTTCTTGACATGCACGATGTTGTTAATTCTGTCATTAACCTTTGTGTTAGAGCAGGAATTAGTAAAGCAAATATTTAACAGTATTGTAGATTAGTTTTAGGCCTTTAAAATGTATCGATTTAGTTTGACATGCAAGAATTTATAAATATGGTAAGTAAGAAAAAGTTTGTGTTGTTATTGGTCATTGGATGATTTAATGCGTTGTTATTTCATGTGGTAAAAATATATATTAATAAGTTGTATAGTTACGAAACCGTAGGTCTATTTTGTTAATAATCTAAGTTTTGTATATTATAAAATGCTAATATCCTTAATGATGTATGTAATTAGGTAAAAAAGGTATCATCTGAGTAACAAACAAGGAGGAGATGACGTAGTTGAAGAAATTGCGTTTCCATCCTCGATCTCCCTTTTGACGGTTAATTTTATTCGGAAGGACGTCCATATTGAAGCTGAGGTATAAATGACGCCGTGTAATATTATGAATATTTTTTATATTGATGTACTGTTGCGAATGATGTTACTGCTGCTTTGAATATTTGTCGTATTATTATCCGTAAACAAACTATTATGTTTAAATTCTAAGCAGATGATACTAAAAGCAAACCGATTATTGCTAACGGAAATACAGTTATTTATTAAGTCATACGATATTTAAATGTTATCATCATATTATTATGTTTCCAGTCGAACCAAATGATATTAATAAAAAATGATTATTTCAAACGTAAATACGGATGTTAAAATGTTTTTCCACTTGATTATTAGTCAAACCGAATAATACAATATTCAATTACTCCCTCCGTTCCTAAATATAAGTCTTTGGAGAGATTTCATTATGAACCACATACGGAGCAAAATGAGTGAATCTATACTCTAAAATGCATCTAGATACATCCGTATGTGGTTCATAGTGAAATCTTTACAAAAACTTATATTTAGGAACGGAGGGAGTACTAATTACTGGGTATATCTTACCTTGATCTATCTTTTCTTCAACTAAAACATCTTCTGCATCCTAACTCTAATTCCTGCTCTAACACAAAGGTTAATGACAAAATTAACAACATCGTGCATGTCAAGAAAATAACATCTTGCATGCAGCATGAGTGGCCGGCTAAAAGCGCATGCAGTAGTAGTACCAATCAGCAGCATGGCCGGCTAAAAGCGCATGCAGCAGCAGTAGCAATCAGCGTAGCGTGCAGTAGAGCAGCAGGGCCATGAACAGGGCTGCCGCCAGCCCGCAAGGCGGCCGCGCCCCAGGTACAGTACTGCTGCCACGTCCCTTGGCGGCCGGGCCCCACGCGCCGCTGCCGTTCTGTCGCCAGCGCCGACTCCCGTTGGTACAGTGCTGCCGCCTTGCTGTGTGGCGGCAGGTGCCACGTGTCGCCTGCCGCACCTGCCGCCACAGCCGAAGGGTTCCTTTTTGTTAAATTTATCGGCAGGTGGTCTTTTTTGTCAATTCATTCGCCCAGGTGGTCCTTTTCGACAAAAAATCTAATCTGGCCAACCAAGAGATGTGGTGTCCTCTGCTGTCCCATGCGTTCAAAAACTCATGTATTCCGTTGTTTTCATATATAGACCAAGCTATGACTATGATCAACGTGTCGAAGCATCTCCTCTGTTTTGTTGGGATTGATTCCTAGCCTCCAACCACCATGCGGTAAAGGTGGCACTTTGAATCGGATGGGGTGTTCCGACTCCAACTCTGGTGAAACATAAGTATCACACTTTTTTAGCATACCCACAACGCATCAATGTGTTATCCACAGTGTCTTTCTCTTGAAGACAGAGATAGCAAACACTCGTATCGTTCTGCAGTCCATGCATCGCATGCCTATCCGATGTCCACAACATATATTGGACCGCCACCCAAGCGAAGATTTTGCATTTGAGTATAGCTCCACTTCTCCATATGCATTCGTACATTGGAGATCTCTTGAGCCAGAGGCATAGCCTCTTATACACCGATCGGGCCATGCACATTCCTGACGCAGCACAAGGCCAGGTAAATGCATCTAGTAGATCCTTGCACGAACTAGTTCAAAATCTGATGTGACATCGGCCCTGCTCTGAGATCTGTGCAACGGTGAGGAGGGCGTTCGTTGGGAGTTGTTAAAAAACTGACGGACGTCAGATAATGTTTTCGAGAAAAAACTGGAGCTCCTGCAAAAAAAAAAAACTGGAGCATAAAGGAAAAAAGTCAATGACCGCACGCAAAGAAGCACTTTGAGATTTGGAAACCAGATCACCAAATCAACACTTTGTGCCTTGCTTGCGTGCCAGGCGATGGCCGAGAGCGCCGCCGCTGCCGGGCAGTCATCCTCGGCGAGGAAGTCTGGGGTGCCGGTGTTCGTGATGATGCCGCTGGACACGGTCAAGACATGCTGCGGGAGCGGTCTAAACCACCGGAAGACCATGGCGCGGGATCTGGCGGCTCTCAAGAGCTCGGGCGTGGAGGGAATCATGGTGGACGTGTGGTGGGGCGTCGTGGAGGGCGAGGAGCCGGGGCTGTACAACTTCGAAGGGTACATGAAGCTCGTCGAGATGGCGCGCGATGCCAGGCTCAAGGTCCAGGCCGTCATGTCCTTCCACCAGTGCGGCGGCAACGTCGGCGACACCGTCAAGTGAGGCCATTTCGTCCGATCCCCTTCTTTCTTACTTTGCGGCGTTTGTGACATTTGGGTGCTCGTCTTCGTGGGTGATGGCAGCATCCCGCTGCCGCGGTGGGTGGTGGAGGATATGGACAAAGACCAGGACCTCGCCTACACTGACCAATGCGAACGCCGCAGCTACGAGTACGTGTCGTTCGGCTGCGACGACATGCCCGTCCTCGACGGACGCACGCCCATCCAGTGCTACACCGACTTCATGTCCGCCTTCCACGACCACTTCGCCGCCTTCCTCGGCAACACCATCGTCGTAAGTCCCACGCACTTGATTATATTTCTCTGTTTTCTCTGTCGCCATTGTGCTGGTGCCAATTTGCCTTGTGCCGGCGTGCAGGAAGTTCAAGTCGGCATGGGCCCTGCGGGCGAGCTACGGTACCCGTCGTACCCGGAGAGCGAGGGGACCTGGGAATTCCCCGGCATCGGCGCCTTCCAATGCTACGACAAGGTACTCCAGCTCCGGTTGAATTCAAGTGGTGAGCCTGCCTGTATCTCGAAAGTTTCTTGACATTTTGGCTCTGTTTTTCCTCGTGCAGTATTTGCTGAACAGCCTGAAGATGGCAGCGGAGGCGGCGGGCAATCCGGACTGGGGCTTGGGCGGGCCGACGGACGCCGGCGGCTACAACAGCCGGCCGGACGACACGGACTTCTTCCGCCAGGACGGCGGTGGCTGGGACTCCGAGTACGGCCAGTTCTTCATGTCCTGGTACTCGCGGATGCTCCTGGAGCACGGCGACCGCGTTCTGTCCGGCGCGGCGTCCGTGTTCGGCCACGAGCCCGGCGTCCATCTATCGGTCAAGGTCGCCGGCATCCACTGGCACTACGACACAGAGTCGCACGCGCCGGAGCTCACGGCCGGGTACTACAACACGCGGCGCCGCGACGGGTACCTCCCGATCGCGCGCATGCTGGGCCGCCACGGCGCCGTGCTCAACTTCACCTGCGTGGAGATGCGCGACCACGAGCAGCCACAGGACGCGCGGTGCATGCCGGAGGGCCTGGTGCGGCGTGTGGCCTCAGCCGCCCGCGAGGCTGGCGTCGGCCTGGCCGGTGAGAACGCGCTGCCCCGGTACGACGATGCGGCGCACGACCAGGTGGTGGCCACGGCTCAGGAGGAGCGGATGGTGGCGTTCACGTACCTCCGCATGGGCCCCGACCTGTTCCAGCCCGACAACTGGCGCCGCTTCGCCTTATTCGTGACACGGATGAGCCAAGCGAGGTAGTCCTCCTCGGTCGCTGCGTTCCGGTAGGCTCACGCTCGGCGTCCACTGCAACGATGTTGCATTTCCTTTTTTCTTGAGTGGGGTGTAGAGTATCTGCTCCCGAGCGCACATGCTCTTTGATTAACAGTAAAAATCAAAACAAATAGTAAAAAAAAATCAAAAAATGATTTTTTTGATAAATTTTGATAATTGTTTTGCGTGCTTGCAATAGTTCATATAAAGAGACATTTGTGGAAATCGTGACAAAAAAAAAACAAATCAATGCTCCGAAAATGATGTTTCTGAAAGCCTTAAGGAATACTGATTTTATTTTTTATCGTGACTTCCACGAATGTCATTTCGTGATGAAATTTGTCATACATATACAAATATTTGTCAAATTATCACACAAAGATTTCAGAACGATCTCAATTTTACTTTATTTTATTTTTTTGATTTTATTGTTCATCCCGAGCTCATTTGACCTCGGGAGCGGAAGAGTACTTTCACCATTTCATTCTCTATCTTCTCTTCTCACACCTCTGTGCAAAATTTTGATGATATGACACCCACTATAGTCTAGTAGTACGACATGGTACACACTATAGCTTGCCTAGTTTTACGACATGATCGTCTTTGCGCCCCATGATCAGCCGAGTTCTTGTGGCGGTCAAGATGCAGGTGGATAGGCACATGTCTCGTCTCTCTAGGGGTATAGCATCAGTTGCCACATTGCACAATTGTCTTCTCTCTATGCCAAAGATGAGCGATGCACGTGAGCGGTGCAAGGGAAGGAAGTGTACTATAACACGACCCCATGGGTAACCTTCAGATGGCCATCCACCGCGTCATCCCACGCACTCCGTCATGCCCTCGTTGAGGCCTACGGCAACCTCATGCCCACCGCCTCTTTGCAGCATCCAAGTGCCCCCCACCCCCACCCTAGCCGCTCCCCGACGACTAACGTAGTCCAGGCCCTATCACACAACACGAGGCTCCGTCCCAGGTGCCAGCCAAGAGCAGGAGAGGTGTCGGCCAGAAGAAATTGGCCCCTTGCCGCCATCACTGGAGCCTGCCCGAGCTTCGTCGACGATTCCTCTGGTAGCGGCGGGACAGGGAAGAGAAGGAGAGGGTGTGGCGGCGTAGGAAGGGTTTCATCGCGCGTGACTCTAGAGAAGGGCGACACAGAGATGTTTTTTTCATCCTCCGCAACTTCACCCCTTAAAGGGTAGTTATTTGTTCTATTTATGGTGGGCATGAAGGTTGTCATGGTTGATAACTAACAAATGCAAAGTCGATGTCGAGGCCCGATAAAGCTTCGGTCCGGTCAAACACGACGGCAACAAAATCAACTAGAACCTCCTCCTCCCAAGCGCCGCTGGCCACTCCGGCCGCGGCGGCCACTAGCCCCAGTCGTCGTCCGCGCCGGGCCACGGCTCCACTCCGCGGCATGGGTCCGCCGCGTTCGCCGCGCTCCTCTGCCAGCGATAGCCCCAAGGAGCCCACCCCTAGATCTAGCGGCTCAGTGGTGGCACCGGATATGCGTCGGCTTTGCCTCGACACCCCTCAAGATCCAGCGTCCATACCCCGGCTTCTTCTCCGAGGCGAAGGATCTGGCTGCCCCCCATCCCCTCGAGACGGCGTCCCATCCGCCTTGCTTCTTCCGGACCGGCTGCGGCTTAAATCGATTGTAGTTGGGCCTTCATCAGACATCAATGCTCCCTCCCAGGATTTGGGCGAGGGATGGACGACGGTCTCATCCTGGAAAAGCCGGCGAGCAAGCCAGGATCTGCAGGGCAATAGAGAGCGGCGGCCAGGCCCTCGCTCGGACCGGCGCCACGCCTTGAATGCGGATCACGGCTGCGCTGCCTTCTTAAGTCGCTTCAAGGGGAAATGCTTCCGTTGCCTCAGTAAGTTCCATCGTCGGAAAGACCGTCGTGATCCCCTCTGCTGCATCATCTGCGAGCGCCCCGACCACTTTGGCAGGGAGTGCCCGCAAAACCCGAAGAACGGCGCCGACAGGCGAGCAGTTGATAGGCTAGGCCCCCTTCATCATAGAGAGCCAGTGCACCAGCGCATCCGCTTCCCCTCGACGCCCACTGCTTCGCCTCCGCCCCCACCGCCCATGGAGCGCCGGATCCACCCCCACGTCGACCCGTCGCGCTGGCCAAGGAACAGCTGCAAGGTGGTGGTCTCTACCCCGGCCCTGGAGCAGCATGTGGCTCTGCTGCGCCGTCAGGCGGTCACGCTCACTGCCGCGGGGCAAGCCTCCGTGCGGTCGACGAGCGCCATGGCGGTGGGCCGCAGCTAGAGGCACAGCTGCGCATCCCGCCGCACCAGCTGAGGATCATACGCCACCACCCGGAGGATTTCTTCATCGTCTTCGACCTGCCTCTGCACCGCGACGACGTCATCAAGCGCGGCTCCCTCACTGTCGACGGCATCAAGTTCCACATCAGGCCCTGGCACAAGAACGACCACGCCGTCATCCAAAAGTTCCTCCTCCACGTCCGCGTCGTCATCGAGGACATGTCGCAGCACTTCTGGTCGGCTGAAGGGGCCGAGGAGGTGCTTGGCTGCCGGGTCGACCGCCTCGACACCCGGACCCTGGAGCGCGGCCACACCAAGACCTTCGCCTGCTGGGTCTGGGTGGGGGACACCGCCCAGATCCCGACGAAGCACACATTGTGGGTGCTTGACCGTGGGGCTGGCCATGTGGAGCAGATGCACGGCTACTCCCCGCTGGACCGCATCGTTGCCGCTCCGCGCCACGACCTCCTCATCCACATCGACCTGGTGGAGGACTGGACTCCGTACGAGCCGCGCTCGCCCTTGTCGGGACAGAGCGGCATTCCCTCCTCCAACACCGACGACGAGGACAGGCCCATGCCCAGGCTCTACCCTGCCACCTGGTCCAAGGGCGTCGAGGACGGCCAGCGCGAGCCCAAGCTGCGTCGGCAGGTGGCCGTGGTGGCTGACACGGGATGCCGGGGCCTCCTTCGAGGCGACCGGCGTGATGAAGACGGCGAAGACCAGGGCGGGCGCAGGTCCTAGAAGGACACCTTGCTCGGTAGAGGCCTGATAACCCACAAGTATAGGGGGCCGCAATAGTTTTCGAGGGTAGAGTATTCAACCCAAATTTATTGATTCGACACAAGGAGAGCCAAAGAATATTCTCAAGTATTAGCATATGAGTTGTCAATTCAACCACACCTGGAAACTTAATATCTGCAGCAAGGTATTTAGTAGCAAAGTAATATGATAGTAGTGGTAATGGTAGCAAAAGGTAATGATAACAAAAGTAATGTTTTTGGTATTTTGTAGTTATGATAACAATAGCAACGGAAAAGTAAATAAGCGAAGAACAATATATGGAAAGCTCGTAGGCAATGGATCGATGATAGAGAATTATGTCGGATGTGGTTCATCATGTAATAGTCATAACCTAGGGTGACACAGAACTAGCTCCAATTCATCAATGTAATGTAGGCATGTATTCCGAATATAGTCATACGTGCTTATGGAAAAGAACTTGCATGACATCTTTTGTCCTACCCTCCCGTGACAGCGGGGTCCTAGAGGAAACTAAGGGATATTAAGGCCTCCTTTTAATAGAGTACCGGACCAAAGCATTAACACATAGTGAATACATGAACTCCTCAAACTACGGTCATCACCGGGAGTGATCCCGATTATTGTCACTTCGGGTTTGCCGGATCATAACACATAGTAGGTGACTATAGACTTGCAAGATAGGATCAAGAACTCACATATATTCATCAAAACATAATAGGTTCAGATCTGAAATCATGGCACTTGGGCCCTAGTGACAAGCATTAAGCATAGCAAAGTCATAGCAACATCAATCTCAGAACATAGTGGATACTAGGGATCAAACCCTAACAAAAACTAACTCGATTACATGATAAATCTCATCCAACCCATCACCGTCCAGCAAGCCTATGATGGAATTACTCACGCACGGCAGTGAGCATCATGAAATTGGTGATGGAGGATGGTTGATGATGACGATGGCGACGGATTCCCCTCTGGAGCCCCGAACGGACTCCAGATCAGCCCTCCCGAGAGGTTTTAGGGCTTGTCGGCGGCTCTGTATCGTAAAACGCGATGAATCCTTCTCCTTCATGTTTTTCTCCCCGAAAGTGAATATATAGAGTTGGAGTTGAGGTCGGAGGAGCTCCAGGGGGCCCACGAGGTAGTGGGGCGCGCCCCCACCCTCATGGCTAGGGTGTGGGCCCCCTGTCCTTGATCTTTTGCCAGTATTTTTTATTATTTCCAAAAATACACTCTGTGGAGTTTCAGGTCATTCCAAGAACTTTTGTTTCTGCACATAAATAACACCATGGCAATTCTGTTGAAAACAGCGTCAGTCCGGGTTAGTTCCATTCAAATCATGCAAGTTAGAGTCCAAACAAGGGCAAAAGTGTTTGGAAAAGTAGATACGACGGAGACGTATCAACTCCCCAAAGCTTAAACCTTTGCTTGTCCTCAAGCAATTCAGTTGCCAAACTGTAAGTGATAAAGAAAAACTTCTACAAACTCGGTTTGCTCTTGTTGTTGTAAATATGTAAAGCCAGCATTCAAGTTTTCAGCAAATATTATAAACTAACCATATTCACAATAACACTTAGGTCTCATATTTACTCATATCAATGGCGTAATCAACTAGCGAGCAATAATAATAAATCTTGGATGACAACACTTTCTCAAAACAATCATAATATGATATAACAAGATAGTATCTCGCTACCATTTCTGAGACCGCAAAACATAAATGCAGAGCACCTTTAAAGATCAAGGACTGACTAGACATTGTAATTCATGGTAAAAGAGATCTAGTCAAGTCATACTCAATGTAAACTAACAGTAATGAATGCAAATGACAGCGGTGCTCTCCAACTGGTGCTTTTTAATAAGAGGAAGATGACTCAACATAAAAGTAAATAGATAGGCCCTTCACAGAGGGAAGTAGGGATTTGTAGAGGTGCCAGAGCTCGGTT